CGTACTGACTGCTAGGGCAGTTATTTTCTGCTTTGAATACTTCCCACTGGCAATAATGATTCCGTAACGTACCCTTGCGCTATCTTTAGACCATTTGGCAACTATTCGCTTCGTAGCTGACACGGTACAACACTTTTCTTTGGCTTACTTCACACGGCCAGTCATTTTGTTTACAAAGAAATGGTGTCCTATGCGCATGCGCTAGAAGAGGGAAATCCCTGAACAAAACGTTGGTCAGACAGGTAGAAATACCGATGATTATCTTAGATTTAATCATTTTTATGAATCTATTTCGGCCAAATCCGATCGGCATTTTCCATAAGGAGTCTCACTTGATATGTTTATGTAGTATTTGGAAAAAAGACAAAAAAAAAGTTACTTCAGCGTGATGCCCCTTTAAGTGGTATTATTTGATGAATAAAATTGTTTTAATTGCGTTGTTAAAAATAATCATTGGGATATTTTACTAGATTTTATAAAAAATATCGCGGATACAAATTGTCCCCTATTGAGATATTAACCCATAATAACAAAACGGGTACGATCTTGGTCCTACTTCTATTTTCCAATTAGCCTCTTGGGAAACAGTCTTCCTTTCAAAGGCAAAACTTTTAATAACTATTCCTCTCATGTCAATTCTGTAACGGTATTCTATGTAGGCTTATTGTGTAATGTTTGTCCATTACACAACACAAGAAAAGCCTTCTTTTTAAACGATTTATTGAAGATGAATTTTCAGTAACTTTAGTTAACGATATAGTTTAAATATGGTTTTGATGAATTTCGCGAATGTATTGTTTCTCAAGACCAAGATGCATGTCTGCATTGTTTTTGTTGCCGATACAAAATGCATATTTAAACCGATTTCTTCTGCGCTTTCTTCTTCAATTTAACTGTGAGGGATCTGGTGAGAGTTTACTGAAAAACGCCGCCGATGGAGTAAGTTTGAAAGAGTGATTTAAATTTCGGAATAACACGCTATGAGGAAGCAATTAAAACACATAGATATTCATGTACTTAACGAGACATGTTTATGTACTGTAAATAAAGTAGGAATATATTAACACGTGCGTAAGGAGAGTACAACTTTCGTGGCATGCAATTATAATGATAAAGAGACAATATCCATAGTTCCACCGATACCACGCATTTATTGTTTACATACAGAACGTGACTTTTTATCCAGAAAGTTGTGTTGAGTCAATTTTAGACATTACTAGATATCTTCGCTTTTGTTATATAATATCATTCGAGAGTGGTGTTGATCGCTATTCCTAAAACGTCTAAAATAATCTTAAGGATCATTGTCCCACGGAACTTATAGTATGTACAGTAGCCTCCCCTTAATGCTGGTTTAGAAAAATAGTTGTGTGATTGAACAGTGCACCGAAATTACCATGGGTACACCGTCAATGCATCGTCTGCACATAGTGCGCACAACTTTAACAATCAATCGCCCCGGTGTTCGATAAAAACGCTCAAATATGTTCGATATTGTAAGATTGGTTAATCGATGTTAAGGAATGAAAATAATCCATGAGGCTCAAATGGAATAACGTACATCTTATACGATACATATCTAATATCAGATTGGCATTGTTGTGTAATTGACTTGCAGTAGGATAAATAAACGACAAACCCTTGTTCTTGCTTCGCTTTCGTGTAGTTTATCTCAAACTTTCGGTGGAAACTCTAGGTTACATCTAATTCATACATCATAAACAGAATACGGACAATAATTCCGGATACTTCTCTGGTGGTCACAAAATATATAACACATATATATAACATCCCCCCGCTCAAAAAAATGAACCCCAGTGAAATCTTAAACAACCACCAAGGAAGTATCCAGACATACAAAACAACAGAAGTAGGAAGTACATTCCTAGTTGAAAACCCAATGCAGGGAGACAGTATCACAATTTGTGCATATTCTAATGTTTAATATTAAGCTGATGAATATTGTATGTTTTATTATTGACAGAACAGTGTGTTCTTTCAATATTAAAGTATTTCAGAGCAATCCAGGCATTAATTCAGTTGTTTTTTAATTAATGAGTCACATGCGTTCGTTGTTCTGTACTTCAGGAAACCGGCTACCTATTTCACTACTGTGAAGTTTTTCAAGAACGATAACTCTTACCTGCAATTACTATGTGTATATGGTTTTATTATAAAATGTCAATTTTTAATCGTTTATAGATAATTAATTTTACACAATCTCAGCATTTTCGAAATTGATATACATTAATGCAATACTAATCTATGTCAGTATCATTTTGATTGACATTATTTTGCAAAACATTGCGTGTTTCATTTTTCTTTTCAAAATTCCATCATTTTTACATAGATTTCCATTTAAAATCCTTACAATTCTGTCAATCTATATTTTTTTTTGTGGCAGAAAATTTCTTTACTTCAAAGCAATATAACTACAAAATTTGAAAAAAATCTACTGAGAAATGGCGACACAATCCTATTACCTTAATTAATTACCAGGTATAGTAACACGTACTGCTGGTTTGTTAACCTGTGTGAGCAGTACGTACATGTATAAGTTCGTTCCAAAACAAATTTGATACGTAACATGTTCAATACTGTTACGAAAATAGATATCATGTTAATCTGGTTCAAATAAAGTATGTTCATTTTCACAAATGAGTTTTCAAAATTAAATTCACGCCGGAGAAAAATAGTTTCCACTGCGTATTTACAGCTTTTGGCTGTGATACGGGCATCCTTAAACATTGCCAACGGTACAACAGTCACGATGTTTCCGCATATATATCATACTGCAAAGCTGTGCTTGATTTTAAAGTTGATTAGAGTGTGATGTCGCTATACATTGTGATATTTGTTATTTATTTGTAAGCTGACAAGACTTTGTCCGAGTTTGTTTGTCAGCTTTACCTTGTAACTTGTTTTTGTACAAGCAGAACTATGGTGTTGTAATATGATTGTAGGTTGCGTTTGAGTCAGATTATATATATATATATATATATGTATGAAAAGAGTGTCCTGTCAACATAAATAAAGTTTCTCTGAGGTGAAAGCGCTAGGGGTGGGAGTTCAGGTTCTGGAGAAGCGAATCAACTTTGACATGTAAGTGGTAGTTTACATGTTAGAGTTCATTGTTTAAGGGATCGGTACTCATACAATTTTAAAGTAAAACTAACTTACATTGTAGGAAACATGGCAAACAAAGAAACAACCATCTTGCTATCAATGGAAATGAGATAAATTTGTTGAAATAACATATTATCAGAAATAAATAAAAATCGAGGTTTTGTCTACATGTTATTTCTATATTTCTATAGAATTACAAAATAGATATGTAACTTACCTTGAACTTTAACCATCTTGGTTTTGATTAAGTGAGATAAAACACATGACAGTCACAGGTAAAATAAGGGAGTGCTTTTAACACATAAACCCATACACAACAAGGAAGTATGCCTAGCTATATATAACTATTACGTTTTAAGACTGACTTTGTTGACCTCCATATGGTTACAGATCTTTGTGTTCGTTCCATATCGTCTTGTGAATGTCTGAGAGATAGCGAACCTTAACCCGTTCAGTCAAGTAAAACCTAAGTACTTCTTTACAATTCTATAGCTGTCAACGCTTTATTCCAACCTACGCTTTAAAACGTATGCATTACACATAAGGTCGTTGTTATGATCCAGGGATAAACATTCAGATTCTATTACCCGCTGTGTAACTCTATCCGGAATGTTTAGGAGATGAAATCCTTTAGCCTGGTCACTTTGACTGAATTAAATCAAATTGGTATTTTTTTCTGATACTGCTTGAAGCAAGATAGAATACCAAATAAATACACGTTAGTATTCTTGCTGCTGACGTTTTGAAAAAGGTGATATGACACAATTATATTATTATAAAATGAGAAATAAAACTGTCGTTTGTATTCGCCTCGTAACGAAGACATATAGACTGCACAACAATGCATCAAGTCAAAATTAAAAACGCAGATTTGCATTTTTTAACGTAGAGATGGCATTATTTTTTTAATGGAGGACAAGTAAAAAAACACCAAATGAGTGCGAGTGAATATTATGTTGTCCAATTACAAGATTGTCGTTGGTGCTTAAATGAATAATCGAAATAGTTTAGGATATCCCCTCTCAAACAATACAATGAATTCCGAAACCAACCTTATATAAGACAATCATACCTGCTTTCACAGCTATTCCATCCTTTACTTTCACAGCTATTCCATCCTTACTTTCACAGCTATTCCATCCTTTACTTACATTGTTTGCCGTCTTCATGGACAAGAGTTTTTAATTGTATTCTCACTATAAGTGTCAGTGATCATTTACTGTATTTTTTGACAGGGAAATTACGCCAGTTAAAAAAAATGCCATGATGTCGACTAATTGTTTTCATTTCCTCAACTGATAGTACGTTCCCTGTGCACAATGACCAGCATTGGTCTATTGAAATGGCTAATGATCAAACAGGGAACGGACTCTTGTATAAACGTACATTGTACAGGAATAACGCCAACAAAACCGGCTACAATTCCTTTTGTACATTAAGAAGAAAAAGGCAGAATAGCTTTTTGCATTTGAAGGTTAGAGGTAAGATAGATATACTTTTAAAATAATTAAATGATAAGTTGTCAATATTGTGCACATTTTATGGTAAATACACCGCAGTGAAAATAAAAATGTGACCTTACTTTGTGAGGCTAATAAAACAAGTGTTATGTCAATCCTGATAATCAGGTGTTATGTCAATCCTGATAAACAGATGTTATGTCAATCCTGATAAACAGGTGTTATCTCAGATTCCAATGAAAACCAAAACAATTAAATAGAATACTTTGATTTTATTAATGTATGGCATATATATTTTGGCCACGGCTTCCTGACTTTTAGGTGGATCGCCGAACTTAATGCTTTATGGCAGATCCCAAAACAGACTGCTGACCGTCCAATAGGTACAGATTAGTTCCAATCAATCAATACAAATCAATCAACACAAATCAATCAATACAAATCAATCAATCAATATTTCACCAAATTGATGAAATTATAAAGCTCCGAACCCCGTGTTATTTACCGGTAATTCTGAGCTTCAGGGTCAGTACAATGTCCAATGGCCGTTGATCAATAAATCAATATATTTCACCCAATTGATGAAATTATTAAGCTTTGAACCCCGTGGTCTTTACCGGTAGCTCTAAACTTAGTTAAATTGATGTCCAATGTCCTTTGTCAACGCGCTTATTTATCACCACAATAAAGATTAAGCACCCCAGCTTAAAGAAATACAGTTCCTACATCAATGTTCTGTATACTTTTATACTTAAGTGTATTATTATCGCCTTTATTGTTCTCAGTTTTTGTTAATGATTTTGAAACCTCATTTATTGAAAATGGTGCAACGGACTATGACTTTGGTGAATTGAGTTTGTTTTTGTTAATGTATGCAGATGACTTAGTATTGTTTTCCGAAACTATTGAAGGTTTACAGAGTCTTTTAGATAATCTGAATGTGTATTCTACTAAATGGAAATTAACAGTTAACACTGAGAAAACCAAAGTAGTTGTATTTAGAAACGGTGGTCGTATACGAGATAGAGAAAGATGGATGTATAATGGTTTGGAGGTGGAAGTTGTAGATGTTTTCAGCTACCTAGGAGTAAAACTTAAATTCAATAATAAATTTAATCATATACAGAAACAGTTATCTGACCAAGGAAGAAAGGCCATGTATGCTCTTTTTTCAAGCTCTTCTAACTTGAGCCTAAACTGTACAACGTTATTGCATTTATTTGATACGTATGTTTGTAGTATATTGCATTACGCATGTGAAGTATGGGGATCTACAAAAGGTACGGATATTGAGAGGTTACACCTACACTTTTGTAAGAAGATTTTAAAAGTTAAGAAGTCGACTTGCAACGCAATGGTTTATTTTGAATTAGGTCGACATCCTTTGGAAAATATAAGAAAATTCAGAATGATAAAATATTGGTTAAAACTAATGGATTCGAAAAATTGTATTTTGCAAACTGCGTATTCCTTTTTAAGTAGTAGCAATACAGGCAATTGCTTTAACTGGGTTAAGTATGTCAAACATTGTCTTTTTTCTCTCGGATTCGCAGATGTATGGACAAATTATTATTCATATAACCATAAAAGTATTTTGTACATGATAAAGCAAAGAATATTTGATCAAAGTCAACAATA